ATAAAGTCTTCACATGGTATATCAAATGACAGTATAATGTTATTGTCCTCCACAACTTCCTGTTGCTCTGACAAACACTACAGTGACAACCAGTTCCTCTTGTGTAATGCATCTACCGTATTCGACGTAATAAGCGCCCCGCTCTAATAAGCGCCCACGGCGATATTTGCTAATATATTGGCAAGTGAACAATCTCAATTAGCACCCCTTCCGAATGATTAATGTACACAAGACTTATTTATTCGTGTTTCATACGCACTCGCGTGTTATATGCACCCTTAATTATCGTCAATTAAATTCTGGAATAATATATCTGTCGTGTATAATACGCACAGACTTTTCTTTTGTCTCATTTCAGACTGTAAGCATACACCACGAAGTTTACGATCTTTCAACTGGTTTTTTTTCACCAAACTTTTATTCTAACAAGAGCCCCCTATTTCTAATTTTGAGAGCGCCCCGGGCGCTTATTACGTCGAATACGGTATCTAAATATATATATCTGCCATGATTCTACCATGTGTCATATTTCATGTCTTGCTGCTATTTTAATGTTGAGATGTTGAATGTAGCATCACTGATTGAATAACTCCCTGTCACCAAGGAATTCCTATTCTCACAGCGTCAGCTGACATAATATCCCTTGTTCATCACATAGCCCTGTACTTAGTCTATAATAAGATTAGCAAATCACATCTAGAATTTTTAAACTCAAACGAAGCTGACACACCTCATCTCAAGAGCCTTGGAAAATATAGATCTGTCTTTCACTCGGTTGTTGCCTGGCTTCACAATGAGTGGAAGGATTTATTGCTCTGACATTGCATTGCTGGAATATTGCAAAAAGCGTTAAAAACCCAACTCACTAACTGATTCACGCTTTTAAAATCACCTTTTCAATTCCAAGATTAAATAAAATTTGTTAACAGTACTTTTTTAAATTTCACATTTTCTGATCACTTCAAACATACAGTTGTGAACAACTTATTCAGTTACATGCACATACAAACTCATAAACCTAATATATATACTAAACAAATGGAAAATAGCGATTAGTAATATTTTGGGAATTTTTGTATGTATGCTCATTTTTCACAACAACAAAATGTCCACCCAAAATATTCATGTATATAAACAATTGTAGATATTTCTATTCCTTCCCTTGCATTGACAATAACTGTTTTTTTCTGTTATCTATCTTTGATTTATCAGTGAACAAGCTACTTTGACAGGCTAGATACGATAGCCTCTTATACTTGTTAAAGCCAGTGTTAAAAACATTGTCATGTAAACAGGGTTGGAGACGTTTGCCTATCAAAAAATTCAACTTATTAGAAGCCTAATGTCTTATTCTGTAAAATTATCACCAATTAGATTTAAGCACTGTTAAACAGAGTTTAAAATACGCTTTTGAAACAAGTTCAAATTTAGAAAGTTTTGTCACATCAATCTGATCAAAACCCATAGAAAATATTGCCATTTTTTATTGACTACCACAAGGCTAATGTTGTAAGCTAGCCATGTTACAAGATAATCCTTTTCGTGAACAGTGCCATGTCTGCTGATATCAAAATCCGAGTGCCTGAGTCATTTACTATCTAGCCATTTTATTGTTTCCTCAGCTGGACCAATTGCCGATAAATATACCATTCACCATGTTCACTTATATCACTCAGGTTGCAATCCTGAGATTCAGATATATATATACAACTCCATGCAATAGTATTTCAGTGAGCTCTTCAAATAGCATCAGGTTTTATGTTATTATATTATGTGTTACTACGTGAGGTCTTCAGGAGAACACCCTACAACACGAGGTCTTCAGGAGAACACCCTACAACATGGGGTCTTCAGGAGAACATCCTACAACATGAGGTCTTCAGAACACCCTACAACATGAGGTCTTCAGGAGAACACCCTACAACATGAGGTCTTCAGGAGAACACCCTACAACATGAGGTCTTCAGGAGAACACCCTACAACATGAGGTCTTCAGAACACCCTACAACATGAGGTCTTCAGAACATCCTAAAACATGAGGTCTTCAGGAGAACACCCTACAACATGAGGTCTTCAGAACACCCTACAACATGAGGTCTTCAGAACACCCTACAACATGAGGTCTTCAGGAGAACATCCTACAACATGAGGTCTTCAGAACACCCTACATCATGAGGTCTTCAGAACACCCTACAACATGAGGTCTTCAGGAGAACACCCTACAACATGAGGTTTTCAGGAGAACACCCTACAACATGAGGTCTTCAGAACACCCTACATCATGAGGTCTTCAGAACACCCTACATCATGAGGTCTTCAGAACACCCTACAACATGAGGTCTTCAGGAGAACACCCTACAACATGAGGTTTTCAGGAGAACACCCTACAACATGAGGTCTTCAGAACACCCTACATCATGAGGTCTTCAGAACACCCTACATCATGAGGTCTTCAGAACACCCTACAACATGAGGTCTTCAGAACACCCTACATCATGAGGTCTTCAGAACACCCTACATCATGAGGTCTTCAGAACACCCTACATCATGAGGTCTTCAGAACACCCTACAACATGAGGTTTTCAGGAGAACACCCTACAACAAGAGATTGCCATATGTTCACCCACCACAACATGAGGTTCCCGAACACCTAACAACAAGAGATCTCATGAACACCTCACAACATGAGGTCTTGAGTTATTATACCTTTCAAGAGACCTCCAGAACGCCATACAACATGAGGTCCGACAGAGAACTCCCTACAACATGACCTATTTAAAGCCAATCAAACATATTCAATTTAACCATCAACAGCTTGAGAACCCTTGTACAAACATGTAAGCTCTATAATGTATCAGATAATAGGTCGTAGATGCCTTTCACTTCTGACATCTGCAGGTAATCGTTGGTTTAGGTAATCCCCAGCCATCAGTATTACACCTGCATTGCTCCAGATAGCCAGGGGCTGGTCATTGACCCCCCCAGGAAACAAATTACCCTCAATGTCTGAGCATGTCCCTTGGCCCTGTATGTCTGATACCTGACACATCAGTTTCCCCGGTGAGCAGGGGGTCACTTGACACATGCTGCATCAATCAATCAGTATCACTTGTTGCCATTATAACATGATACTGGCCAGGAAATCATCCAGTGCACAATGATTACTGCAAGATCTGTGCATAAACATGATAAAACTGGCATACTGTTCTTAACAATCACCTTGTTATAAAACATAGTAACAGTTTTTGTGAAACATATTGAATCTTGCAACAATAACAGATCTTTAAGCAGGAATAGCTCTATATCACTGACATATCAAGCTTGCTGTAGTACAAAGACTTTGTACACATCATATTCCACGGCTCATAGTCTGATCCATAAGGTCTTAAATAATTAATAATTTCTTGTTGTTTTTTATGTTTGTTGTTTAACGCTGCACTCAGCAATATTGCAGCTATATGACGGCGGTCTGTAAATAAACGAGTCTGGACCAGACAATCCAGTGACTGACATCATGAGCATTGATCCACGCAATTGGGATACGATGACATGCATTAACCAAGTCAGCAAGCCTGACCACCCAATCCCGTTAGTCGCCTCTTACGACAAGCATAGTCGCCTTTTACGGCAAGCATGGGTTGCTGAAGACCTATTCTACCCTGGATTTCACAGGTCGAACTTTAATTTAGGTGAGGTAGGTACACACAATCTTTTTCCAATTATCTTTTTTTTATAATCCTTCCAACTATGCAGGATGTTCTAGGTATGATGTATATTTTCTTGTGTCCTAATTGTTTTGTCATGAAAAGAACATACCACTAAAATATATATTAGTGTCGGCACCTTCACTTTGGGTCAGTCAGATAATGAGAACCACATCACTTTTTTTCAGGCCTTATACAATCCAGGGCCCACTTGCACAAAGCGATCTTAGCGCTACGACTATTGTAAGCCTATGTTAAAGCATGGGAGTTAAGATCATCTTATCGCTAAGATCGCTTTGTGCAAGTGGGCCCTGATGACTGGACATGATCCACAATGTGTGAACTTGAGAAGCAAACGTTACCCTATACTAGGATGGAACACCACCATTCATACACTTCCTGTCATTGTGAGTGATTTGAGTAACGTTACAGCAATATCACGGCAGTCTACTAGGTTGCTGAGACCTGCCTTGAGCTGGAGGCAGTATTTGAGTGAGTTGGGTTTCACACCTTTTCAACAGTAGGTCATTGTCATGAAGGTCTTTACGACTCACATTTTACATTTACAATTTGGGTGAAACACAGTAGTAGGGCATGTCACTGATAAACCAATGATAAGTCAACAAAAAGGGATCTTTGGCATCGCGAATTCTTGGATTCCTGCCATGGCTAAGGGAGGCCACTCTGCCCTGCAAATTGTGGCACTTTTGACCACTGTGTCATCTGGGCAAACGGTGCATGTCAGTGTAAAACAAGAAATCTTCGATCATTCCATCACTAGCAATAACTAGAGACACTACTGCTCTGTCTGCTCTCAAAAAATACCCCTGTGTGGATTGTGGTACAGAACAGAATCTGAGCACACCATAGAGATGACTACATTGGGGATCAGGTTAAGTTGAATAACACAGGAAATTACAGGATTTTAAGAGGTCACACGTTAAAAAGAACCAGGTTCCAGCCTTGTGTGATTCATTTGTGAGTGATTTTCTTTGTGAGTGATTTTCTTTGTGTGTTAGTTAGTGAGTGAGTGAGTGAGTGTGTGTGTGTGTGTGGGGGGGGGGTTAGGGTTTGTGTGTGCTGGTGGTTATGCTGGAATCTTCTCTGTAAGGAGCTGAACAATTCTGATATTGCACCAACACATTATTTTTCAGCATGTTCAGGACATCAAACTTTTCAAGTGAACAATACTCTTGAATATGGACCCATGACGAACAACATGTAGTGTCTGATCCTGTACGCTGTAGGCATCTACCGACCAGATGAGCTGAATGGCTCCTTATATAGTCACCTTACCTGAGAGTACAACTTCCACAAGACTGGCCTCCCCGATGGTGCTGGGGTCATCAATGAGTTGCAGGACATTGGCACAGCTCTGGTTGTGTTGGAACAACAGAATCTTGTCCACAAGGTTGTAGAAGCCATGTTCAGGGAACTGGAAACATTGAAGAGAGATGCACTATTAGACATCATTGTATTAACGCGAGCGTGAATTAAATGCAAAAAATGTGAGTGGTCTTGGTTCGCATTAATGAAACTTCGTATTTATGACTCCAAAATGACTATCAACAATAAGACGGCCTCACTGCTCACTTTGGATAGCTGAAATACCAACTTGAATATAAACACAAACACGATTTATTGAGCAGCAATTGTAACAAGTATATTTCCATGTCATTCAAAGAATTGAATTACACCATAGGCATCCAGTGAGTTACCACTGCTGGGGTCAAGAGTTCTACCCACTCATGTCAAACTAGGCATCATTGACCACTCCCGCAGACAGACACCACCCACTCAACACTTTGTTAAAGGCCAACACGACCCAACGCACACCGATACGCTTCACCACACTCCTCAGATCTACAGACTTTGTCTTGTCATCTGCCTTCAAGTTTGTTGACACCTTCTCCGCATACCAATCAGTGAACTGTTCTTGGTTTAATTATTTTATTGCCTTTGAACTTCCTTAATGCCAGTCAACAGAATAAACATATAAACTGTGTGTTGTTTTTAGGAAAACACTGTTTATTGTTTTTACGGAAGTGCATTAGGTGCTACTAAGCAGTGCTATTTGCTGTTTGATTGGATAGAGGTCAGGTTAGATTAAGGTCAGGATATGTATCATTCCATTGTGGATGGGGCGGGGGAAGTCAAATTGATATTGAGGTGCATTTTTGGCTAGTGGTCAGCAGTCATATTAATTTGGAGACGCATTAATTTCAAGTATTTACAGTATTCAGGGTACCTAATCATCTATGTCTAAAATCACATCATAATTCTGTGAGCAGGTCTTAGAGACGCCATTGCTAGGATCCTCCATGCAATTTAGTTTCCAGCTACGGGTTATGTAGGAAACGTTGAATATGTTAATGTTTACAATGGATGGATTGTTACACAGATGAGCACATGTCAAGGCTAGAGTCAGTGAGTGAGTGAGTTTGGTTTTACGCCACTCTTAGCAATATTCCAGCAATATCACGGCAGGGGACACAAGAAATGGGCTTCACACATTGTACCCATGTCGGGAATCGAACCCGGGTCTTCGGCGTGACGAGTAAACGCTTTAACCACTTGTCTACCCGACCGCCCCGTCAAGGCTAGAAGACATATATGGTTGCATGAAGATACTGTATACATCTTCCCGAGGCAAGGGAGTTAACTGACTATATAAATCCAGTTTCCACCCTTGCCGAATTAGGCTGGAATTATGGAGTTACATTTTGGCTGGACTAACGAGTCTGAGTAATAAAATCAACATCTGATTCGTAAACTGCTGTGTAGATTTCAGTGGTTGCAGGATTTGCAAGGCATGTGTACAGTCAACATGAGGTTAACAGAAATTTTCCAAATCTTTTCATGTTTTAAATCAAGGTGCTTACGTGATTTGATGCACTTCACAAAGTAAGACCTGTTTTATCACAATAAAGATCTTGATTATCGATCAGATTGTCTTAACTGGGCGCCGCCATTTTGTTTAAGGGATATGAGAGGTGGAACCTGATTGGTCAGTAGGAGGGACATACAAGGGACTAACTCATAATAGCCCAGAAATTCCAGCGTAGTTCATCCATATATCTTATCCTTACTTAATTCGACAAGGGTGGAACTCGACTTTTACAATCAGAGAACACCCATGCCTGAGGAAGATTGAAGATATAAGTAATAACATTTTTTTCATTATTTGAGCTCAAGATAAATTTAAACTTGAAAAACAATGTTTTGCTTTTACCCAGAAGGCTATTCAATCTATTGCTAAGAAACAGGCTCTTACTTCCTTTAACATGTGAAAGGAATCTTGAAAAAACTTGTCCTTAAGACTTTTAACACATTGCCTACATAACATCAGCCATTTGTTCAGATAACAGAAAATTTATTTCCAGAAAAGTAAGAGAACATTAACCAAGAATCTTTCCAACATGTAAACAATCAACAATGCAACAAATCTTTGTCTGCATCACCACTGATGTCCGACTCATCAGAAATTTCTTAATGTCATTTTTTCAAAATAGGAGTCAATGTTTATCTTTTTATCCCTAATGTAGACAAATTTACATGCTTTACACAAGAACATTCAAAATATATTTCCAATGCTTAGGTTGGCTATCATTGTCAAGAACAATATAGATAAGAGAGTTTTTTCACATATCTAAACATTATGTCACGATAAAACACAAAACCATGACATTTGTCATAACGTTCAATAAATATATAACTTAATATCTTGAAGCATGCATGAGTAATCGTGACAGTTTCTATGTGACATATAACAGCTGACATGGAATTTGTGACAGAAATACTCTTTGGGGGGCTAGTTATTATTACTGTGATGCCCCAAATCTGGATTAAACTTCAGTGCCTACTGGCGAAATGAATGGCAATCAATCAGGAAGTCTGATCTACTTGCCACACATGCTTTGCAAAACCTTTGAAATATTTGTGTACTAAATTTTGAGTTTTTATTCTATTTGAAAACAAAATATACATACGATACCCTTTTGAAAAGCTAAACATGCATGAAAGGTATTATTAACATTTATTTATCATGTTTGTTTAATCTTGTTTATTCTTTGCAAACAGTTCTGCCGGAACATACAACCTTCAAGGCAGCTCAACCAGAAATTGCAGAAAATCCTCCACACCAAACTCTTTTGTAGTCACATGTGAAAAAGCAAAATTCTGGGAAATTTATGAATTTGGATAACAGTAAAACAATACATGCGGACAAGGCTGTTGCCTCTCTACAATGAAGAGCGATGACCTGTACTTATTAACACCCATTAACACAAGCAAGTGTTAGGCGCCACTGAATACAGTAATGCTTCAGTTGAAATGGATTCATTATCGGCCCATCTGACACTCTTTTTCTCTCTGAGCAGCAGACTGACAAAAGATTGTTACACAATCTAAATAGTTGACCAGAAGTGCACTGATTTAAAGATTGACATTTTCATGGATGAAGATGGGTGTTGACATGGATGTACGAATCCATAGAGAAAATTACACTGTTCTTATTAAGGTCTCGTGAAATGGAGCACATAGGTAGTCCTGTCATCGCAGGAAATGCATTGCACTGTGCGGAGTTGTGTCCCTCAGGCAGGACAGAAAACTGATCATGGTTCAAGCCCCAGCTTTACTCTGATTTAGTTTCTAGCTTTGTCAGCATCATACTAGTGCTTATAAACTTATGGACTTATGGACCAGTGCAAACATCTAAGACCTGCTTACAGTTGACAATACTGTATTCGACATAATAAGCACCCAGGGCGCTCTCAAAATTAGAAATACGGTCTCGTATTAGAATATTATTTTGGTGAAAAACCACAGAGTTGAAAGATCGTAAATTTCGTGGTTTATGCTGACAGCCTGAAATGTTGATATACGACAGATATATTTTTTCCAGAATCTAATTTCTCATAATTAAGGATGCATATAACACACGTATTATACACGAATAAATAAGTCTTACATTGATCAATCGAAAGGGGTGCTAATTGGGATTGTTCACTAGCCAATGTATCAGCAAATATCGCCGTGGGCGCTTATTAAAGCGGGGCGCTTATTACATCGATTACAATAGCCATTAGAGAACTGAAATATTGTTCAAAGTGGAATTAAACCAAACTCCTTCAGAAAGAATGAGGGACACGGGTGGCCCAGTTGTCTAAGGTGCCATGATTGGCAGTGCAGAGTTGTGTCCCTTAGGCATGCCAGAAACCTATGATTGCAGGTTCGAATTCCAGTTCGCCCCGATTATGTTTCTAGATTTGTCAGCACCATACCCGTGCTCATGGGTTTCATGAAGGTATGAGACCTGCATCACTTTGGGCTTTCCTCCAACATTAAGCTATGAGTGAGTGAGTTGGGTTTGAACAGTTAAACTATGTTACAGTGTGTCATCATAATGTTGGACAAAAGCCTATAGAGACACAGGTGGTATATAGAAATTATCATCTGAGTGTGTTTCCGCAGCAAAAATATCACATATCAGAGATAACAAAATAAAAATGCTACAAAAATGAAAAAATATATTGAGTGAACTTCCCCATTTATCATATAGTGCCAATGATTTGCAGTCATGTTAGTCTACATAATCATCCACACATGGGAAACCCCTATCTTAACTTATGGGGAATATCAGTCAAAAGTTTGTTAAGAAAGCAGACAATGAATCAACATATGGAGATAATATTAAAAAGTAGTTCCTGCTACTAGGGTACCTCATTTGCATATTCAGCTAACCGTATTGGACATAATAAGCGCCCTGCTCTAATAAGCGCCCACAGCGATATTTGCTAATATATTGGCTAGTGAACAATCCCAATTAGCACCCCTTCTGATTGATCAATGTACACAAGACCTATTTATTCGTGTATAATACGCACTCGTTATGGGCAGTTAAATTCTGGAAACATATATATCTGTTGTATATAAACATTTCAGGCTGTCAGCATAAACCACGAAATTTATCTTTCAACTCTGTTTTATTCACCAAAATAATATTCTAATAAGAGCCCCCTATTTCTAATTTTGAGAGCGCACTGGGCGCTTATTACGTTGAATAGGGTATCATGATAGCAAGTTTATCAGATTGTATTATAGCATCGATACATTTATCCATTATATGATAAAAACATTTATACACTTGGAAAAACCCAAAGAGGGTGTGTTACTGACAGGCTGATTCAGGCACAGTTAGGGGCTGCTACTAAAAGTGAATTACTTCAGACCATGAGATCACATATGGTTCTTAGAGAGTACGCTCATGTTTTTCGCAACACACCTCACATACTGTTCTCAAGGTTGAGCCTCTCAAAAAAAATGTTTCTTATCACTGACCAACTCTAAAAATCTAACAAACTGTCTGGCCTTCAACAGTTTCGTTACTTCCTCACATGCGTTGTTTAGGTCCAGTTGCACATTATTAGAGTGACT